CCGATCCGCTCCGATCCGCTCGGAGCGCCCCCGGAGCAGCGGTGCCGGGGCAGTCCCGCCGCGAAGGACGGCGATACCCGCACCTTCCCCTCCCGCAGCGCCGGCCCGGCGGGCTCAGAGTGAGGCAGGGCGGGGACCGGGCTCTGCGCAGCCCGTGCATCCCTCCGGCAGCGCCGCCCGCTTGCTTCCCATCGCTGAAAAAGGGGGAGAGGGCGAGTCCAAGCCGATAGAGCTCGCTAAATTGTCCTCAGCAACCTAGGGGTTAAAAGCAGCCGGGGGAGACGGGGGGGACGGGGAGGGAAATAAGGAAAGAAGAAAAAGAGAAAATCTAGCCTGACTTTGCCTCTTGGAAAGCTTTAGGTTGCAGCCCTGCCTTCCAAGCATTCTTTAAACTAGAAATGTGGGAGGGACTCCAGGAGAGAGAGATGGCTATCAACTGAATTCATTACTGTAAACATCTCCCTGGGGTGTCAGGCAGGGAGGAAAAAAAGGCACGACTTACATTAGCAGGGAATAGTGAGATGTGAGGCATCATTACTGCTAAGATCAGCCTGCAATCCCGGCTGGAGGCAGGCGCAGGACTTCGAGAGAGCCAGACACACACACACTCACACGTATACTCACATACATGTGTCCGATGCCTTCTCCGACTTACGAGGGTCCTGGGTCGCTGTGACTGCTCCTCATGTGATCCTTTCATCATTTCCAGAGGACAGAAAAAGACAAAAAAAAAAAAAAAAAAAAAGGCAAACAACCAAAAAAAAAAAACAACCCAGAAAGAAAGAAACCCCAAGACCAAGCGTAGCCGCGGTCCCCTCTCGTTTATATTTTTTACCGGAGAAGGAGGAACGGCGGGGGAAAGAGAGAGCGAACCGAGGAGAGAAAGTGCGTTGGGAATGCCAGAGCCGTGGGCTGCGCGCCGGAGGAGGAGGTGGCGGAGCAGGGGGTAGGACGATGCCGCCGCCTCGTAAGGGCGGAGGAAGGCGCGGGAGGCGCGGGGGTCGCTCGGAGCGGCGGCGGCCGGCGGGGAACGGGCCCGCGGGGCCGGCCGGGAGCGGCGCCGGGCGGAGGGCGGCGGCGGCCACCACCGAGGAGCGGCGGCGGCAAAGTTTTGGTGTGGGGGGCCAGAGGCGCGGAGGGGGATTACGATCGGTGCCGGCGAGGGATTCCCAGACACCGCCAGGTACAGTTGGGATTTCATTTCTCACTCTTTTCCTTTCTGGTAATTCTAGCCCCGGGCGATTTAAAGCCGCGGTGCCCTTTGCCTTCTCCCAGATGGCAAAGTTGAGGAGCCGGGCTCAGGCTGTGTCAGAAACACCGCCTTCGCCACGTTAGAGCCCCGTGTCGGCGGCGCCGGGCTCACACCAGTGGGGATTTATGAATGGCCGGCGGCAAGTGCTAGAGGGTGCCCGGGCTGCCCGTGAGTGCCGTGCGGAGCGGGACTCGGCGCTGGCAGCCGCAGGGAGCTCCCGGGTCCCCGGTGGCGTTTCACTGCGAGCCGGGAGGGTGCCGAGCCTGGCCCCCACCCCGTGGGGAGGGGAGAGCCGAGGACTACCCCTGCGGCAGGGGCACGGGCAGAGAGCCCGTGTGAGCAGCACCGGCGGCTCTGCTTGGGAGGTGGCTCGGGGAAACGGGACCTTTAGAGGTGAGCCTTACTCGGAAGAGGGAGTCGGCTTAGTTCGGCTCTGGCGAGTGCTAAGGAATCTACGGGGAGAGTCGGGAGCTGCGCCCGGCGGGAGGATCCGTCAGATCCCCATCAGCAGCTCCGGAGCGGGACTGGCGGTGAGTGGGTGGGGGCGAGGTTAAGAGAATCCGATCAAGACTTAGGAACACAAAGGAGCCGCTCAGAGACCTGACTGGGATCTGACAAAATAAGAATAAATACT